TATATATATATATATGGATTGATAGTAACTTTTTTTGTATGAATTATTGTTATTAAAACTGTAAAGATATGTACAAAAATTTTTAATTGCGAAAAGTGGATCAATATAGATAAAAGTATATAACTGAGTGTTTACTGAAGAAAAATATTTGTGAAATTTAAAAATAATTCCAGTAATTTTTGTTGAAAATTGCCGTTAGAAAAGAGCGATTTTTGCCCCCGCAAAAATGGTGGTCCTGTCCCCGCTTTTTATCTCTAAGTTTTTATTTCTTTTGATGAAAACAAGCTACGACAAAAATGCAATATTTACTTAACATCTCTCGGACAACAGGCTTGAGACAAATGTTAGCACGCATTCCGCGCGATGAACGAACAAGTGTTCGCACATTTAGCTCTTACAAATGTGGTTATTTCGAACAGAATCACGCTTCGTTCTCGTGACCGAATGCATAAAGATGACGTCTGGTTTCCTCTTCTTGGTTTTTCATAGTGAAGTATAATTTTCGTAAGCTTCTCGACTACGCAAACAAATAAACTTTCGGACCACGTTCGACAGTTTCCTTTGTTTTCTCCTGTTTTTTTCTCTATCTTGGCACCAACTCCTCTGAGATATCTCAAATTTTTAAAACGGAGACAAATGAGTTTAAAAGTATCGAGATAAAACAAGACACAATTAAATTATATTTAGTATTTTTGCAACGAAAAGATGTTACCTTGAATCTTTTAAAGCGACATATTTAAGCGACATGTATTTTAGTTTTTCTTAGAGCAAATGTTTCCATTAAAATTATTCTCATTATACTTTCTTTCAATCTTTATTGTGTCAAATTAACTGTGTCTTCTAGAAATTATTTTTCGTTTTACTCATTCTGTGCGTTTTATCTATGAAAATCGGAATATCTGTAAGAAAAATTGATGGGCGCTATAGATACGGTTAGAAATAAGAAAACAAATTTATTGAGCGAGCTTAGAGAGACAAAGATATATTTCCTCGACGTGACCTATAAAGCCTTTCTCGAGGTAACGCTCAAAAGTTATCATTCGAAGTCACCGTGTAACTTTATATGGTGGTTGTAATGGCAAAAAAAGCAATTGTAAAGCTTGTCCTAAGTGCACGAAGCCCTGCCTGCCTGAAAACGAGGTGGAATGCGACAACTTATTGCAGACGGGCCGTTAACTTTTTCCGCGTGCTCGGCGCGGTTGGTAACGTGGCTAAGCTGGATGGCTGTATCTCCTGTCTACGCCGTTTTACTTTCCCTGCCGGGTTTTACTCGAAATTATTATCACAGTAGACGAGATATACCGGGGCGGTTATTCAGTCCGAAGCGTGACGTTTTTATGGCCGTGGAAAGCGCCCTAGAAACGCTCTCGTAATCGCGCGGATGCATATACTGCATATTACGATACACTCTGGAAGATAGAGCGAATTTTTTCGACGACAAGAGAAGAACGATCCTGACAAAACGATCGATCGTTTATACTTATATGTATAGTTATATTATTATATGTATAGTTTTGGGAGAGCTGCTGAATTTCACAGCAAATCATTGGAGGTTCAGTGGAGGAAGAGAGCTGCTCTATTTAACACCTGGGGATTCGCGTCGTTTAAGCTAATCGAATTAGTCTTGCATACCCGAGAGATTCACCGAAGTATTCATTAGGCGACTGAGTACAAGCACGGATTATTCGTTGCTATAATCGAAGGATGTGGCACGCTATACACTTTCGAAAATTGCGATATTGAGTTATGGATAACTTGCTATTCCTCATTCAGTGGAAACTCGATACGAAACTCTCAATAACAACATTATGCGTCCACCTACATGTAGCTTTTTGTAACAGGACATTGTTGCAAGTAAAAATTTCATTGACTAATTTCTGTGATTGAAACTTTTTAAAAGAAATTCCAATTCCTATAACAAGTAACAAAATGGAGTTTAGTAACAGTATTTAATTTATTTTTTATCTCCAATTTTTCTTTTTTTACATTTACAAGTTTCCAATCAAAGTACATTTTTTTCTCTGTGCGAAAAAAAAAACAATTTACACGTCAATTCTCTGCAATATTTGAAACTGTATTTACATAAATATATAATTGTTTGTTATTTTTTCAGCCGACAAAGCTCAACGTCTACAAGAACGATGCCGAAAGCTGGGACTACACAACGCCAACACTGGGTGAGTCTATCTCTCCTTTTCTCTTTCATCTCCCTCAGTTCTTTTTTTATTTCCTTTTATTGGTGTTATATACGTGTAACTTCATAACACATCACTCCCCTCGCGTCTCTCGACATGCGTTTCAGCAATCGACAGCATGAAAGTGTAGAATCGAACAAGTCTGCTTTTTTTAAATGTCACTAATATTTTTTAATAGCAATCAGCATAATCTGAAATCCTTAAATTTTTAATCATCAAATGTTTTCAAATCTCAATTTTATGTATATCATTAACATATTTTAGAATATGATTTTTCTGAAGAAAATTTAATTCAGCTGTGTTCATGACGTATTGCTTAATTATAGAAACAACATATATCTACTGATTGATCAACTTTTCATAAAACTTTATGCAAATATGATTTAACTTTGAAAATACTAGATTTTTGCAAACGTTAAACTGCATTTATTGACTATAATAAAATTATTTAGTGAAAAAGATAGGCTTGCTCGATTCTTGCATCCAAGTCGTCAATTTTATCGCATTCTCCAGAGAGAAGCGGTGTCCAACTGATTTCTTTCTGCAGAATCTGATTTAATTAGCGACGATCATCATGTACGTGCGAAACGCACAGAGGATCGTTCCCTACGCCGATCGTGTTGCGATTTCTCCCCTTTTTTAGTTCATCATTTGTGCCTTGTTGCACATAATGGGGAAAGCTTAATTGGATCAAGCAGTATCTAGACGCAAAAAGGCTTCGCCTGCCGGCTTTGCTCGCAAGCTTCGAAGAAAACATTTTTTCTTTCGAATATTTTATTTACTTAAAAGAGAAAATTAAGTGAAAGCATTTCTATCGTTCATTGAACACTTTAATGATTATAGACATTTCTTTTGTTGTAAATTTAAAATTTTTATATTACTAGAGTTTTAATTCTTTCTTGACATTTTAGTTCTAGACGTTTTAAATTAGTTTTAATTTTTTTTTATCACAATTGCTCGTTTTTGTTTGACCTTTCTACCACTTTTTTAAACTTTTTTTATAAATATTAAATGTTAAACAACTTTCTGTGTATCTGCGTAAAAAGTGATGATTAAAAAAAAGCTTGCAAAACACGTTTGGGAATCCATTGCAATCCGGTTTTTGAAATGAGAGACCAATCCGGAAATGCCACGACAATGCGATGGGAACGATCCTCGAGCTTAAAAATCGCTCGACCGTCATACGCATGAATTCGTCGTGGACATTCACATATCACAGAATCCGAATAGATCTATTCACTCTGGAATACGAGGCGACGAGAGAGTAGGAATATGGAAGTGTGTGATAATTTGGACCACCCGACGAAACGTATAAATATTCCGAAGCGGCAAATTATATGCAAATGCATCGTAATAAATCCATATTCAAAATACATCGCGTTACAAGAGTATTGAATGAATTTTACGCGACAAAACAGCGACGCACCATCGCGAATATCAACCCGGCTGGCAACACATTTCTCGAATTACAACTCCGTATGCGGACTGCGTTAATATATTACTCTGAATAAAATGCAAAATGCATTTGTAGCGAAATAATTATATCTTACATTGACATTTAACGCTTTTCATAGCTAACGTGATAGTTTAGCTCGTTTTGTATTATTTATATCTACCTTATTATCCATAATAGGCTTTCTGCAATAAGCCATCACCTAAAGTCAATTTCTTACGACTTTTAAGTCGTAAGAAATTGACCGATCTTATGTTGATTATTCTTCTCACGTTCTACTATGATTAGTCAATTTCTTATGACTTAAAGCCTAAGTAATGGCTTATTGTAGAAAACCTATATAAAGTTAATCCTATATATTCCTCCCCCCCCCCTTCCTCCCCCATCTCAATAACACATGGTCTTGCGAAAAAGTGTGTGGAACAAAAAGCAAAATGAAGTTGGGAACCCGCGCTTACAAATTATTCTTGTGAATCACGGTTCACTGACCAACGATTAAATCGCTCGCCGGAGGACGCGAATACTCGAGAGCAGAGCGCGGCCTTCGCATTGCAAAAGTGTAGCCGTTTAGCAGCTCAACGCCGCTTGGTTATGACGCGTAAATTATTTCGAGTTATCTTACGACATTAATTACCGCGTTTCTTTCTACCACAGCTAATGAAGATTACCAACGCCACGTGGTGATTCTCGCCTCGAACTATTAGCGCCGTTTTCGAGATAATTGCCCTTCGCGTCGAGGTACTGCGGTTTCGTCGCGCGAATTGGAGCGTCAAATAACAATTATACAAAGACAATTTAGACGCGAGTTTATTTCCACAAGTAGACACTGGAAAAATGAAAAATCCTCCACTGAAATTGACTTATAACTGGAAACAAGATTAGCAGAGAAGTGACCTTAATTTCCGGTAGTGTAGTAATATATATTAATCCTTTCTTAAGGAAATTAATTAAATATTTGAGTCTTGTTGTCATAATAGACATTGAAACAATATTTGAATAATCATCATAAACATTAATTTTATATATTTGTAATTAATAAAAAAAAAGAATTTTTTATTAATCTGTCTAATGAAATTAAGCTTCTTATGGGATTTATTTTCCGAGTCATTTCCATTTAAAACTAAATTGAAGTTAGGAATAAATTATGAGTATATCTAGAATTATTATTTAAAAGAAAAAGATCGCATATTAGGAAAATTATTTAATTCGATACTAAAATATCACTGATTTTCTCAAACAATATGATTTTTTTTTAATTTAATGATCCAAAATTATATTTTAGATTCAATGATCCAATTTGAATTATTTTTATACATTTAAAATAATATAAGCTACTTACATGCGCACTTTAATAATGCCTATTTGAATTAATAATTTCATTTTTTTGATTTTAAAAGAGGTTTAAGTTACGCTGTTATCATTTAGATTGGTATTCACAGTTTGTTTTTATTTCAAGATTGTCTTAAGTAATATCTTAAGATACGAGTCTATATGAAGTTTATGATGATCTTAAGACCATCTTAAATATAAGAACCGTCTATGAACCAACCTATATATTGCAACGTTCAGTGTTAAGTTCAGAGTAATGTAGTTATAACTTGATAGTAGTAACGCCCTGAAACACGCGAAGAAAATTACTCGTGCACATTCAAAAGTTAGCTAACGCGTAAACGCGCGTAAGACTCCTCGTATTGCTGTAATTAGCGAAAAGCAATTGCCGGAATATCGCGTGCCAGGCACAAACCTTACAAGCAGAATTTCAGTCGAATCGACAATCGAGCAGGGCACTCGAGGAATTCGCTCCAATTACGACACGAGCTTGACGTTCTGTCACCAGCAGACATCATCGACGGCGTAGACTGTAAATCTCTGAATCCTTAGAGATGGATTTCCGCACTAATTGACGCCCTTTTTGGACATAACGATGAAATTTCGCTCGTCAAGAACTTGTCCTGTAAGATACAAATATCTTCATTATTTTGGTCGTGCCCTTCGCTGTCGTTCTTCCTTATGGGATTCATCTTCCGAGTTGTCATTTCCATTTAAAACTAAATTAAAGTTAGAAATAAATTATGAGTACATCAAGAATTTTTATTTCAAAAACAAAAATTCGATCGAAATTGAAATATCGCTGACTTACGTATTTTCTCAAACAATATGATTTTTTTTTTTAATTCGATGATTCAAAATTATATTTTAGATTCAATGATCCAATTTTCCAATTTGAATTACTTTTGTGCATATAAAATTTATATTAGTTACGTAAAATAATTGCAAAATATATACGCTCTTTTTAATTAACTATTGTGTAAAATTAATTAAATTCCACTTTAAATATTTTTTTTATCAAAAAGTTATAATTTTTTCAGTTACGTTATTGGCGTGTTATTATATTATCAGGTTTTAGAAATTTGTAAAATTCGGACCACAAAACGTACAAAAGCTCAAACAAATGCAATATATCCGCGCGACTAAATAAAACAATATCGGAACTACATTGATAGATTGTATCAATTCCTGGATAGTGGCTGTCTTATTATCCCTGAAAGGACTTCGATTACAAAATCCCCTCTGGGATCCGCGTCGACAAACTCGTCTGCCGAACTAATTGCATCGGAGATGGGTCAGGTCGATTGCTGTACTTCTAACCTTTCCAGCCTTGCATCCGCATCTCGCGGATGAAAGTTTCATTAGGTCTAGAGGCGATATCACGCGGTTTCAACCGCAACCTGCATTTCCGCGAAGGAGAAACGGCCGCGCCGTTTTTGCACATTCGAGGTAGTGGGCATCGCATATCGATCCAAACGCCATTGCCAATCGAGCCGCTTACCGTAAAAGTGGCGTAAATCAAATCGTGAAGGGTAATCAATTTAAACCGGTCATCAATAAGAACATAAGCTATTTATTACGTATTTTAAAATAGGCAATACATTGCTTAGGTGTTCAGAATTTGAACTTCAGCTTCTAAACGAAGCGTGTAAATGAGTGAAAGAGTAATGTCTTATTCTTATCGATGTAGTATAGTCGTCGTTGCTTAAATTGTTAGCTCCCAATAAAACGAGTAGAGCAACGAGCATCACGTTGCCGTAAACGTCAACTGAAACCCAAAATAAACCCGACTTGCTTCACTTTTGTATTTTAATCAACTTGTACGTGAGAGAGTAGCATTGTGCAACAACGGCGCGCCTCCATCCTTGCGAATCTCCGGGCGATTAAGATCCGCGATTAATCTGCTGCCTCCGTTCAATTATACTTGCAGAAATAACGTTCGGCCGGACGCGATTAATTCCTCTCCCGATCGCGTTACCCTCAATTTTCTGTCACCGTCGATTCGGTATTCCGATTTGGCAACGGTGACGACGACAGCAGACCGTCCTCGACAAACCGTCATTGGCTCCGTTCGTTTCCCCGTTCTCTGTGTGTATAAATGTCGCGCACAAAGGATGTCATCAACGTCGACGATGGCGAACAAAGCCAAGTTTGTTTCGAGAAAGTGGGCAGGTCGATGTGATTTTATTATACCCGTGCA